ATGTGACACAATTTGCCACGCGTCCATCCCTTATTGGCTGTGGACCCTGCCTTCCTGTTCCTTCTGACACCAATTGTTTAAGACGAGACCATGATAGCTAACCTAGACTAGCCTAGGCTAATGACCTATACATCAATAGCTTATACTGGAGCAGAGAAAAAGGCATCTTGGACAGGGGTACATCTCGGTACCGAGGACATGCACATCTCGGTACCGAGGATAGGTACATCTCGAGCCGAGGGAAGCCGTACATGATGACCGAGGTACCATATTAGACCGAGGGATACGTGTCGGTTCGTAAAACGTACTCGACACGTATCAAGTACCTCGGGGCGAGGGATTTGTAAGCCGATGGTACGTGATCTCAGTTAACAGGATATTTAGTGACGCCCGAGGACACGTGTCTTCATCTTGGAATATTTCAGAAAAATCCTACCAAATGACACCCTTAACTAGGACCATAGATAGAGGTGGCTTGCCTGTCATTAAAAAACGGTTCATGTAAGGGAAAGATTCATGCATGGTAAGAATATAATACTAACAAAATTATTTAATGTTATATCTCCTATTTTCGTGATATGCAAATGTGACGCATAAAATACACATCAAAGTTTTTTTTTTTTTCAAATGATACAAATTCATTTTCGTTAGATGTATCCGAGGAAGACCAAGAGATACATTTGACTACTTATGTGGCTGTTGAGAAATGGCCTTGTAATAAAACGGGTGGCCCATAAACTAGCTGGATATGTTGAGGATCGCAACATATAACATGGACCCCTTTCAACAAACAGGGCCCATTTTTAATCCAACCTGGAGATCTCCGCCAATAATCAAGTATTGCAGCTATATGGCTGGATCAAACGTCACATCTGTCAATGGGTCCAATGGCCCTACAAAAAAATTTAGAGTCTTTTGAAAGTCAATACACCTAATTAGACTTATTTGGTAAAAAATATATAGAAGAAAATGTGAGTTAAAAAGACATAAATGCTCATTTTAAGGTCATTTAATTCAAAATCTCTTATCTTTAATGCACATTGATTCATATGTATTTGTTAATATATATAAATACGTATTTAATGCACATTTGATTCGTGTGTATTTATTAATACATGTAAATATATATATATAGTATACTTGTTTATACACGTGTATAATAAATTTTGAATTATCTTTAATGCACCTTGATTCATGTATTTTTTTTTTTTGAAAAGTGATTTTGTTTTCATATTATATTTAATGCACATTGATTCAAGAATTTTTTGATAGTTTTGTTTTCAAATTAATTTAATATCCGAATATTGTAATAGTATAAAATTAACAGTGTAACAAATACACTGTAACAAAGACAATGTTCAATAGTTTTGTGTATATGGTAACAAATTCAAAACGGGGATAGACTATTTTGAATGAAATTATATGAAACTATATGTTTGACAAAATGTAATAGTACAATATTTTGTGTAAATAGATTGTTACATTATTATTGTTATACTGTTGCATTGTTAGTGTTACACTATTATATTTTATATTGTTACTCTGTTATTGTTACACTATTAAAATATTAAATTAATTTAAAAATAAAATCACTTTCTAAAAAAAAATGTATGAATCAAGATGCATTAAAAGATAATTCAAAATTTAGATAAGAGATTTAACAAGTATATACATACATACATACATACATAAGTATATATATATATATATATTAAAGTTCTCTCATAAAATTAGGAGACGTTTAATGTACCACTTTTCAAAGAAAAGTGATGCATTAAATATGCATGGATTAATGGAGGGTAAAAATGTCACAATAAAATAGATAAATTCAATTTATGTACTTAGATACAAATAAGTATCAAAATTAAGTACTTAATAATCATATATTTTTTAGTGTGTACTTTTTACCAAATAAGCCTAATTTGGTATATCCCGTTACAATTTACCCTAAAATTTAAAATTGAAGACCCATTTTCCGACAATATTTTCACAATAAAGCTCAAGTTTGCGTGGTGCTGCACTAAATACAATTTAGAATTTATAAGAAAAAAATATTACACAACTCAAATACAACTTAAAAAATTATAACCTAAATACAGATTATTTCTTAGATAAGTGAATACCACTGAAAAAATTGATAGGACTCACTCATCAAAAAAAATGATATGCATTTGAGTTGAATTTGAATTGTGTAGCATTACTCAATTTTCCAAATATGCATAACAAATTATTGCACTAAATGCAATTTTTAAATCTTTGGGAGGTCAATTTTGAGCAAACAATCTTTAGTTTACTTTTTTTGTATGAGCATAGACTATATGTTAAGGGCTATGATTAGAATTATCTAATCATAGCATACAATAATTCAATTACTCACCGTCCATCAATTCATGCTAATCTTATTTTTAATGAGTGAGTTGTGTAATAGAGCAATTCTTTTAGATTGTTCCATTTCAAATGATATGGGTCCACAAAATTCCTAACTTATTGTATTTTAATCTATATCATTGGTGATCAAATGGTGGGGGATTTTCTAGTGGACCATAGATTGATCATAATAGGAGATACTTATAATATAAATTATTGCTCCAATGAGAGAGTATAGGCTACATAAAAACCAAGTCATTGGCCAAAACCTTGGCTGATCTATACATATCATTGATGGACTCCCTCCTGTTGTCCCTATAACGTTGGACCTACCACAAAAAAAGTGACACGGGGAGGTAGGCTATTTGCATTTTAGTGATGTGGCATGAGGGTGGGGCCATGCACCATATTGTAGGAATTGCCCTCAGCAGCATTAAGCAAAGGGGAGGTTGTGCAGGATGGGAAAAGGAGGTTAGGAGAGGCTATAAGACAAACTTTGGTTTTGGCGATGGGTGGGTCGGGTCGGATGTTATTTAATTTATATTTAATCCATTTATAATAATATATCGACAAATTGGTATCCTGCCGAATTCATGTCATTTACAAATAAAGTTTTGTTTGTTTCTTATTTAAACAAATTTATTATTAACTTATTTATTTAATGAGTCTAATAAATTCATTCAACTATCATAAAATTGAGTTAAAACTAATAATTTTGCATTAAATTTTGGATCGAATTCATAAATGGTATATATCTAGAATTGTCAACTCTAGACAAACACTTATGGCCATCTATTCATATTCATGTGCATTCATTTATCAATGTTGGTGGAAACGAAAAGCAAAGGGCAAACCCCAAAAGGAAAAGCATGATTCTTGTGGCTTACGATATGAAGGCCCACTTTCTAACCCCTATAAATATAACTTTACCTAATTCTCCTTCTCCTCCTTTATTTTTTCATATATATATATATATATATATATATATATATATAAATAATTAATTTTCCCTCCTTTTTTAACCAAAATCTCCAACTTGTGGAATCCATCTATGACTCTCATTTTGTTTTCTTCCCTTTTGTCATGCCATTGTTGCTTTTGCCCCCCTCGTTGATCTAATTGGAAATCAACTACTTAATCTTACTATTTCAATATGTAGGATAAACTAGCAAAATATATTTATATAATAAAGTATAAAACATTTTAATTCTCAAAAGGTATAAAAAATTATTTTTATTTTCCATAGTTCAAATTATTTTAGATTTTTTATTATTATTGATCCAATGACTAAAGACTACTTTCAAAATTTTGACTAAAGATTATTTTAATAACACACCAATATGTACACATTAAGATATCAAAATACACACACACAAACACACATTACCGCTGATTCAAACCTGACTCCAGACTAGACCCCAAATAGAATATAATTTTTAAAATTTAGGGGGACAAGTGAACCTAATTCCCCAATGGAACCTTCACAAATTAGTATCTTGAACCTGTTGTAGAATAATAAAAAAAAGGGTTCAAAAATAATATTATTATTGTTCAAATAAGGGGAAAAAAAGAAGGAGGGGGGGGGGGTGTTACACTAATACGAAGACTATTGCTGTGATCAGTTAAATTAACATGACACGATATATGTCATAGTACATTATATTTACTACGGACTATATTTTAAGATTTAATATCCTTCGTTTGATGGAGAAGAAACATTGTAACCAATTTAATACTTTTCTTTGTTGGAATATGATTGTACTCAATTTTGTGTAACCTAAAAAAATCTTTGATTATTTTCTTGGTGAGAATGAAATCACATAATAATATATATTATTAGATATAATTTGAGAACTTTATCTATTATGATTATAAAATTAATAATAAATATCATTTAATATAAAAATTCATTGATCATGACAAACTTTAACTGGCAGTTGACTCCGAAAGGGAGTGGAAATATTGAGGTTGGACCGTTCCATCACTTTCTGAAGACTTTAAACGGTAGTTAGTAAGGGTGATGGCCAGTTTTATGATGAACCACTCCTAAACTCTCGGTTAATTTGTAGTCTACTTATAGCCATCTCATCATTAAATGGTACTGTAAAAGATTTTGAAGGGCATTTAGGTCAAATCAACTCCAAAATAAATAAATAAATATATATATATATATACATTTCCCATGGGCAATTGCTGGCGTCTCATCTTTTCCCAGTAGTTGAACCCCGAGGACCCGTGATTGGGGTCACCGGCTACAACCGGTTGGATCATACCAAATTACCGTCCACACCCGGTCAAATACGAGTCCCCCTGTGTGTTAATGTGGGGAGGAAGGGAGGCATAAATGATAGAATAGTGTTCGTAGTCTATAGATGTCTAGAGAGAGAAAGAGAGTAGCTCTACAGAGAGAATCTGTGGTGCCAGCGGGGAAGTAGAAGGAGCCGAGATTTCTTCTCTCTCTGCACCATTCCCCCAGCTTCTTCCTGAAGCCTTATTTACACTCCTCTCTCCTCCTCAGCAGAGTCTCATTCTTTTATCTTCCCTTTCAAACGAAGAGGAAAACGATATTGTGAGATGTTTTGAGAGCGCTTATAATATATATATATATATAGAGAGAGAGAGAGAGAGAGAGAATGGTTGATTCTTTTACACCAGCCATGCCTGTATCTCCATCTCTAGCCGGTGGAGAAAAGAAGCACTGGTGGCTGAGCAACAGAAAGGTAAATCATTCAAAATTGAACTTACCTTCCCATTTTGATCTTAATCTTGAATACCCATTTGGTAAATGTTTGTGTTTTTGGTATGCAGATTGTAGATAAATATGTGAAAGACGCACGAGTCCTCATTGCGACTCAAGAACAGAGCGAGATTGCTTCGGCCCTTAACCTTCTAGATGCGGCTCTGTGTCTCTCGCCTCGGTTTGAGGTCGCTCTAGAGTTAAAAGCTAGGTCATTGCTTTATCTCCGGCGATTCAAAGACGTTGCTGATATGTTACAAGACTACATTCCGAGTTTCAAAATGGCCTCCGACGATTCGTTGTCTTCACTATCGTCCGATAACTCGTCTAATCAGCTCTCGAGAGAGCGAGTCAGGCTTCTCTCCTCCGGTGGTGGTGTCTCACCGGGTCGCGATGAGCCCAGTTTCAAATGCTTCTCTGTTTCAGATTTGAAAAAGAAGGTCATGGCTGGTCTCTACAAAAACTGTGAAAAAGAAGGGCAGTGGAGGTAAACTCAACCTCCTTCAGTCTCACTTGATTTCGGCATCTTTTTAATTGAAAATTTCAACCTTCAATTTGGTGAAATGGCTTGAAGATTACGCGAAACCACAGCCAGCCGTTAATGAATTTTTCTAATCTCTGATTTAAGATAGAAAAACAATGGGAAATCTAATTTATATCTTGAGTTAGACTGGATTTGATGCTATAATCGAATTTAATAATGTGGTTGTTGAGTCGGATGGTCTACGGGTTGACTGGGTTGTGTTCTGAAGCGAGTCTGAAGTGATTCAGTCTTTTTTGCTCTCGCTGTACAGGTATGTGATTCTGGGTCAAGCTTGTTGCCATTTGGGTTTAATGGAGGACGCAATGGTACTCCTCCAGACCGGAAAACGACTCGTAACCGCTGCGTTCCGCCGGGAAAGTATTTGCTGGTCGGACGACAGCTTTTCCTTCACCAAGTTCCCACTCTCCGGCGAACTAACAGTCAATAATAACCACCAGCCTCAGACGCAAACCCCTCCAAGGACACAGTCTGAGAGCATTTCCCAACTCCTCAGCCACATCAAGCTCCTTCTCCGCCGGAAGACCGCCGCCATCGCTGCACTCGACGCTGGTCTCTACTCCGAAGCAATCAGACACTTCTCCAAGGTCGTCAATGGCCGCCGAGGAGCCCCCCAGGGTTTTCTTGCTGAATGTTACATGCACAGAGCTTCGGCTTACAAATCCGCTGGTCGAATTGCGGAGTCTATAGCGGATTGTAATCGAACTCTCGCTTTAGACCCATCTTGTATTGAAGCCCTCAATACTCGAGCTTCTCTGTTTGAAACCATTAGGTGCTTGCCCGATTGCCTCCATGACTTGGAGCACTTGAAACTTTTGTACAATTCCATTTTACGTGACCGAAAATTTCCTGGTTCGGCTTGGAAACGTCAAAATGTGATGTACAGAGAAATTCCGGGCAAGCTATGTTGTCTGACAAACAAAATTCAAGAATTGAAGCAAAGGGTTGCCTCAGGGGAGCTTAGGAATGTGGACTATTACGCTTTGATTGGACTAAGACGAGGGTGTTCGAGATCCGAATTGGAGAGAGCTCATTTGCTGCTCACTTTGAGACACAAACCTGATAAGGCCATCAGTTTTATCGATAGTTGTGAGTTTGCGGATGAGCGGAATGTAGAATCGGTTAGGGACAGAGCAAAGATGTCTGCATTGTTGTTGTATAGATTGGTTCAGAAGGGTTATACAAGTTTAATGTCCACAATCGTGGACGAGGAAGCGGCAGAGAAGCAGAGAAAGAAAGCTGCCGCTGCATTGCAAGCAGCACAAGCCATGCAAGTTCAGCAAACAATCTCTGTCTCAACAGAGGCAGCGTTTCAAGGTGTGTTCTGTAGAGACCTTGCAGTTGTTGGAAATTTGCTATCTCAATCTGGGTTCAGTCGTCCAATTCCAGTGAAATATGAGGCATTGAGCTGTTAACGACGAGGATGAGGATGAGGATGATTAATGCTAATAACCACAGTAAACCAAACCATGAGGGTTTGAAGTTCTTCCGATGATGTACACCGGCGTGGAAATCCGATTCTTGTCCTATGTTTGTACAGAAGGAAAATTAACTATTGCCAGTGCCGGGAAAATTGCCCCTCATTTTCATTTTCTTTCACTGTTTCTTGCTCCTCGTTCTACTTCTATCTACCTACATGTACAGAGTTGATTCAGTACCCAGTTTCTACGTCAAGATTTTCTTAGTAGCTATTTAAATTTTTGTCATTTTTTTTTCTGCTTTCCTTTCAAAATTTTCAGAATTAAAATGGGAGGGAGGGTAAATACATTTTTTTTGAAAAAATTTTGAAGGTAACTTAAATGTCTTCAATTGAATTTTGACAATTTCTCGTGTCATTTTTCATCAATTTTTTAATTTTGACTATTGTAGGGGAATCGGAAAAAAAAATAATTAAGATGGGGATAAATTGATTCAACACTCTTCGTCATAAAAATAAATAATTGGAAGAATGGTTTAAAGGTAAGTGCAGTTCTGGCATTTGCAGATGTAGAAAAGCTATGATTTTGGCATCTTCTAGCCAGAGTATTTTATTTCTTTTTGTCAGGCTTGCGCTTATCTATCCATCACACAGCCAAAAGCCTGAGATTCCACGAGGTTTTCTTAAGAATTTTTGTTATTTACCCTAAAACTTTTCTGAGTTGCTTTTTGTTCCATTCCATGGCGATTGATATAACAGGGGCAATGGTGTTCGAAATGGATCTTTCTTTTTCTGTTCTCTTCTAGCCAAACGCTTGTGAGGTTTAAGATTGTTGCAGTTCTGGATGATGTGTCAAAGAATGGGTGGAACCAACCACCAGCACTCAAAACAACAACAATCCGCAGTGTTTGACATTGTTTTTCAAACTTTTACCTGCCATCATTATTACCTACCATGCCCAGGTAATTAGTGCTCTGTACTGGGTGTTCTATTTCTTGCGTTCGAACTTCTTCTGTTTCTGCTGTTCAGAGGAGTGCAGCAACCAAAATATAGAGCGAAAACCATCACTTTGTTTGGTTGGGCGGCGAAAAATAGTTCTGTTTTTTATGCATCTACAGTAGTACTTTTTATATGGGTTGGTTGAGAATCAATCAATATGATTGCCAAACCTACTGCACCTAATTTTCTTGGTTTGGAGCATGCGTCTCTCTTCAACCAGAAAGTAAATGGACTGCAGGACAAGCCACGAGTAATCAATGAACAAGTTTCTACCATTTCATTATTATTATAGCTGGATTGGGTTCAGTTGTGTGGCTGTAGAGGTAGCATTTTTAATTATACCATGTTAATTTGTTATGAATTTGATAAGGAAATAATGGGTTATAAAATATATCATAAATGACTTAATTTGATAACACGAATGGTAAACGGAGGATGGAGCGTGAAGTATTAGTTTTTGGAAGACTTATGGTGGTTGCATTAGTTGCGAGAGAACCTCAACTCTACCATAACATGTTTAATTAACATGCTCAAATTTTGATTCAGAATCTATATTTATACTACTACTACTAAAAATACTTTAATATGAAAATATTTTGAACCTCTATTTTACTCTTATAAAGAATTGCAAAGATCACTGTATTCTTTTAAAATTAAATATTTAAATTATCATTATATCCTTGTCTTTAAATCTCTAAATTATCCATAATATTTTTTTTAATTATCTATTCTCTACATATAAATATCAATTTCTATAAAAAAAAAAATAAAATTAATTGATTATATTGCCCTTAAAAATAAATATGCATTATTCTATTTTCCAAAAAGTGTTCATAAAATCTTTATTAATCTAATATTACTTATCTCATATACAAAGATAACATTATGCCTACATGTATATTTTTTTTTTGTCGAAAATTTTAACTCTTTTATTTCTAAAATAAAAAATAATCGTTTGTGTAGTTTTTTTAAATTAATTTATGTTATATTAGTATAATTCTTCAGTCACAATAGTCTTTCTAAGTTATACTAAGATTTTATGTAAAAATAGATATGGTAGTATATTTTTAAGTAAAACTTGAATTTTTTAGAATTTTAATATACTTGATAATATATATATATATATATATTATAGAATAGTATATTAAATTTTATTCTAATTGATTTAACTAATTCTAATTAAAGTAAGATGCGGTTAGTGGGGAGGAAGTGGAAAACATGCCTTCACGTCTCAATCTCTTGTGTTTTCAATTGATATTTCAACATGGGAAACAGATGAAAAACAACGAAAGCCATTTGCTTTAGTAATTGTCAATAGTCACTCTGACAAGTACATAATAATATACTTATTAGCTACCTGTTCTGTTCCGTTCCTTCTAATACATTAGATTCATGTACATGTGAAGGTGAATGTCATAATATTCTTATAAAATCTTCTTTAAAACCATTGTTATATTGTTCTTCTAGGAAAAGAAAAGAAAAGAAAAGGGCTTCTGCACACTTTCTCACGAGGGTATCAATTTTCTTTGTAAGGACTTCTCAGGCCTCTCTCTCTCACACCCCTACAAACAACTGTATCTCTGACTTCTAAACCTCCTATCAAGAAATTGGATGTTGAGATTTTTATTATTATTTTTTTTCTGTTGGGGTCTGAGTAGTCAGAGTTCACACTTCACAATTGGAGTCTTGGGTATGGTTTATGAAGGCCGCTTAATGTATAACAGAAGTGAGTAATTGTGAGAGAAAGGGGCAGATGTTGAAATAGTTTGGGAGAAGGGGGGGGGGAGTGGAATTTGGGTGAAGAAGCATAAGGGTTTTGGGAAAATAACATTAGATGTTTGAATGTTGGGAACATTGGAAAGAGGAGTAAGTCGTGGCCAGATACGATGATGTCAGTGGCACCATGTGGCGGAATCGTGTGCTTTTCTTTCTCTTTCATCTTACTACATTGTTAATCTGTTATTGTCAAAAGCTGTATGCATGTTACAAAACTCGGATTATTTGTTATTTTCCATTTGTCAATGTGTAAAGAAGAAGAAAGGGTAAGTGCAAAGAATGAGAGCTGGATGGTGGTCGAACTTTCCTTCTCTTTCCCTTTTATATTTTTTTACCAACTTTTAGTTTTGAGATCGGGTTTAATTCTCACATTCAGTTATGACAACTTTTTATGACACAATCTTAACCCAACATGACATTTAACATTAGAGTTGATTAATTTACAACGACTTAGAGGGTTAAGAAGCTTTCTCGACTTAAGTTCGGTTCTCTCTCATTTTATAATTTTTTATTAAATTTGTGGTACGATATGAAATAAAAAAGTAACAATAATTCGTAATTAAAAAAAAAACAAAAGAGAAACATAAGCCACATAGTAAAAACAATGTAACGATAAATAGAACGCGAATCAATGATTTAACTCCGCACCTTTTCTTACTCTTCAAATTCCTTGTACCATTGATTCTTTTATTCTGATGGTTCGTCTAATTCATAATGTATTACTGCATGGTTCAGGGCAGTGGTGTGCCTTCTTTTAATGCCACGCAAGAGTAGCCTCTATCAAACTTCAAAAATCCCAATCTAATTTCGTATATTTGTACAATTTTTTTCCCACAAAATGTTTATATTATAATATTGTTGCATATTCTAAGACACGAGCAAGAAATTAAAGTTAAAAAGATCAGGGAGATGTAGATTGGATTCAACCTAACTTCTACATTATCAAACCCAAGTGTTGTGGCTTGGGACGCATAGCCCAAATGGACCGATACAGTTTTGCAGTGACCATATGTTTGAACTTCCTATAAGGTCAGTCACAGATTTGAATAACTGCAATAGTAATGACACTGATTTGGACGAAATGCAATAAACTTTATTTTATTGCTACCGCTTAATGTACAAATTTTAGATGAAATAATAAAACTACAAACGCCAAAAGGCTACAAAAGAGCAAAGTTACTTCTTTTTTGATAAAGAGCTCCCTTTCTTGGTACTTTTTGAAGGGTTCTTGCTGTTTTTGCTCGTACTACACTTTGGACAACACCAATCTTCCTCTGGAACAGCCTCAAGGGGAGGATCACAGCAATCAATATGGGTACCAACACCACAGCCACTGGAGCCGCTTTCATCACCACAGATCAGCATTACCTCTCCTCTGTCACAAGACCCACAAACTTGACATGGTAGATCGTTATCAACATGATCTTCTGATGGTGTCAAGTCATCAACAACTTCTTCCAATCGATTTACCTGGTCCTTAAAGGATTTCTCTGCCCAAGCATGAGTATTGTATTGCACATGTCTATCAAGGGAGTAGCCAGGCTTGCAGACATATTCCACCAAATAATCAGCTAAAACACAAGGTATTTCATTTCTTAAGAACTCTTGGACCCATATATCAACACGTGGCATGCCAGGACTGACAATGGCAAAGTCAACCCTCAACTCAAGAAACCGGGTGTAAGGGGGTGATGTTGCTAAGATTGTCCCATCTCCAGCTTTCAGAACACGCTTTAAAGTATCCTGTTTTATGAGAAAAGAAGTGGCATATATTCAAGCAAGAAGCAGACAAGGAAAATGCAGGGACAAGAAAAGCAATCCCAAGAAATGCACAACATCGTGCATGAAGATAATTATCTAGACATAATTTACTTGTATGGCAAAAGCTGTCCCAGTATTAGAATAAGAATAACAATTGTAGACCAACGACAACTGAGATATACCAGAGGAGGGGCAATGCAATCTCCATATATGATAATGCGCATTCCATAGAATGCACCATGACCTGTTTTCTCTCTCAAAAGGCGCCACTTCCTTGGAGCCTGTAAGTTGATTGCACCATCTTCGCTTAGGCCATTCTTATGCCATTCATAAGGCTCCTCTGCCAAGAATCTTCCAGCCTGGTTGCTAGCGGCCAAATAGTCAGTCTTCAGAATCCACCTGCATTTGATGGAGAATCACTTTAGAAGTAAAAATAGCATGTATCAATTCTAGGCAAGTGTAAGGAACTCAGATGAGAATGCTCAATCTTCAGCTTAATTGTTAAAGACTCAATATGTTGAGAAATTGAACAGCCATTGAAAAGTAAAGATAATCGATGAGTTCATACCTTCCAGCTGCAGCAGCAGCAAATAACTTTTCAGTTCTGCGTATGGGATCTGGAACAATGAAGTGTGTTGCCTGATAAGACCATTGGTGAGAATCTCTGCATACCCTTCCTTTCAAGCGCTTAATAACCTGCTGGAACTCCTTTCTTTGTAGTTTATGCCCACTCAATATAAACCATGCAGATTCTTTTTTCACTTCTGTGGTCCGTCCCATTTGCACTGAACCCAAGTCCATCCCACCAACCTTTATATCGTTCTTCAGAGACATCTTAGATTTTGAAGGCACTTTTCCAGCCCGCTGTTTGCCATGACTCCCCAAATGATCTCCAACACCGGTTGGCCTGTTCTCCTTCTCTGCTGCATTAGAGTCCTCTGACTTATTTGCAGGCACAGCTCTTTTAGATTCACATGCTGCATACGGCATGCTCACTTTCTCTGTTACTGTCTTCTTATTATTCTTTTCATGTTTGGCCCCCTCCCCGTCGTTACATTCATTAGAATTTGTCACTTTTCTGACAGTAGGAAGAATCTTTTTCTTAGTTTTACTGAACGGGCCTTTTTTCCCTCTAGTTACCTTTTCCTTCCCAGCATTCTCCATATCAGTTGGCTCACTCAGGTCAGTTTTCTTACTACAAGCAAGATTTTCAGTTTCGATTTCCTTTTGGTTTTTGCCAGATGCCAGTCCATGGTCATACATACCCAAACTGTTATGCACACCTTCTGACTTCTCTTCTGTGTCCATATGTACTTCATGTACTGGTTCGACTCTTCCAGACTTCCCTTCACATTCTGCTGCCTTAGACTCCTTTTCTTCCTTGTCCTCTGGAGCCTCAGTCTCATCATCCATGAATAAAGCTTCAATCGTGGCTTCATTTCCATATTTTGGAAAACAAGTAGCCTCAATATCTATGGCCGTGACAACATTAACACTTGGATGGTCCATCTCAAACTTCTCTGAACGAATAGACTCTGCTGTCACTTTCTCTTCAGCTGAGGAGACTTCAACATCATTTGTCCGGGCAGTTTTATTAAGATATATAGAACCTTTCTGATTTGCTGTGCACCCTGTACCTGAATTTGGCTTAGAGCCCAATCTCTTTTTGGCAATCATCTTCTTCCTATATGTTTTTGAATGGGAATCATTTCCTCCTTTAAGCAAATCCAGATTAGCAGGACTGTTGGATTTTCTGATCTCTAATCTTTCAGTTATAGGTGATGAGACTTCAATATCTTGCAGTTCCTTCTGGGACAACCCAACTTCACCTCCAAAATGTTCTACTCCACTCACACCAGCATCTTTACTGCCAGGCTTACAGTCCAATATGGTCTCTTTTGATTCCATAATAAATCCTTGAGGTACCTCCTTCCCACTGCCATCTTTCCTCATCTCTGAGGAAACGGTATTTGAGATAGGCCTATCACATGTCCCCAGCTTTCGATAAAAACTTACGGATGTCTGTCGTGAAATGTTAGGAGAATCTTTCGAAGGATTCAAAGCAGCAATCTCGTCCATACAATGGGCATTATCACCAAGGAAAAGATGATTAGTTGCTTCAAGTGTACCATCTGGTAACGATGCGGCTCCCAAACCTCCACTTCTATTCACCAGTAATGAATGTTCTGAGAAGTGTGCTGGATTATGAATTATCTTTTGTGATTTGGAACTACAATCGGAAACATTTATCTTCCTCTTCTCTGGCAATGTACCACTGTGTCCCTCTTTGGCATGTAACTCGGTTTCCCCTAAAGGAATTTCGGCACAACCAAGAATAATTCCATCTTGTTCAGTCACAGAGGAAGAGATATTAAGACTCTCACTAACATCAAGTTTACCAGTGTTTAGTGCACATGCGCTGGACATATTTTTCACCTTGTCTCCTGGGAACATTGAAGGAGTGGTTGTTCTTGGGGTTTTCCTCGAGTAACTTATGGCACTTAACTTTGCTGCATCAGATTTCTCAGCACTTCCAGGAGTAGAAGCGAAGCCATTTCCAGATTTTGGAGAAATTAGTATTGCATCACATGGATCTGATGGCTTAATACAAGAAACACCCCTAGGAGTTCTAACATCAAGAGATACAAGTACCTCAGAATGCTTATTATGAATTTCATACAAATATGAGGCTTCATCAGATTTGGTCTCTTTTCCAATGCCTGACACGATGTCACAAGTGTGGCCAACATTAGAGAAGCCTTGAGATGGACTTGAAGTTAACAAGTTTTTTGATACTTCTTGCTTTGATATGACAGAGTTATGAGGACTTTTCATTCCCATTTGCAAATTTTGCGGACTAGCCAATACGTTTCTTTGTTCATATTGCTTTGTAGCTATTTCTTCTGCTTCTTCGTCTGAATCCTTTGCTTCAGCCTCCATCATCTCCATCTCATATCCACTGTAAAGAAAGAGAGAATGTGTATTTCATATGTTTGTCTTTCTTTAGTCCTATCTTTCAAAAGGCATGGTTTGTATTTGTCATTTTCTCATGAACAGAGTGAGTACTAAATAATACTGTACAATCACAAAAAAAATAACAGATGAAGCACTCATATTCAACAAGCTCCATAACAGAAACAGTAAACTTGCAGATGACAAGGTGGCTGCAACCGGAAGCCAAGGAAAATAAGAAGAATAAAGCAAATTGCTGGATGTAAATATGTGTAGAAGTCTAAAAGACAATTGGTTACGAGCTTAAATTCTGTGGGCATAGAGGATATGAGCAGTAAATCTTGGTAAACTGATATTGATACCTATATGTGAACATGCATGCAGATGCACACTTCAGCGCAGAACAAGAAAATTACAAAGTCAGATCTCACCTCTTATCATAATTAGCTTCTGGAAGNGTACCATCTGGTAACGATGCGGCTCCCAAACCTCCACTTCTATTCACCAGTAATGAATGTTCTGAGAAGTGTGCTGGATTATGAATTATCTTTTGTGATTTGGAACTACAATCGGAAACATTTATCTTCCTCTTCTCTGGCAATGTACCACTGTGTCCCTCTTTGGCATGTAACTCAGTTTCCCCTAAAGGAATTTCGGCACAACCAAGAATAATTCCATCTTGTTCAGTCACAGAGGAAGAGATATTAAGACTCTCACTAACATCAAGTTTACCAGTGTTTAGTGCACATGCGCTGGACATATTTTTCACCTTGTCTCCTGGGAACATTGAAGGAGTGGTTGTTCTTGGGGTTTTCCTCGAGTAACTTATGGCACTTAACTTTGCTGCATCAGATTTCTCAGCACTTCCAGGAGTAGAAGCGAAGCCATTTCCAGATTTTGGAGAAATTAGTATTGCATCACATGGATCTGATGGCTTAATACAAGAAACACCCCTAGGAGTTCTAACATCAAGAGATACAAGTACCTCAGAATGCTTATTATGAATTTCATACAAATATGAGGCTTCATCAGATTTGGTCTCTTTTCCAATGCCTGACACGATGTCACAAGTGTGGCCAACATTAGAGAAGCCTTGAGATGGACTTGAAGTTAACAAGTTTTTTGATACTTCTTGCTTTGATATGACAGAGTTATGAGGACTTTTCATTCCCATTTGCAAATTTTGCGGACTAGCCAATACGTTTCTTTGTTCATATTGCTTTGTAGCTATTTCTTCTGCTTCTTCGTCTGAATCCTTTGCTTCAGCCTCCATCATCTCCATCTCATATCCACTGTAAAGAAAGAGAGAATGTGTATTTCATATGTTTGTCTTTCTTTAGTCCTATCTTTCAAAAGGCATGGTTTGTATTTGTCATTTTCTCATGAACAGAGTGAGTACTAAATAATACTGTACAATCACAAAAAAAATAACAGATGAAGCACTCATATTCAACAAGCTCCATAACAGAAACAGTAAACTTGCAGATGACAAGGTGGCTGCAACCGGAAGCCAAGGAAAATAAGAAGAATAAAGCAAATTGCTGGATGTAAATATGTGTAGAAGTCTAAAAGACAATTGGTTACGAGCTTAAATTCTGTGGGCATAGAGGATATGAGCAGTAAATCTTGGTAAACTGATATTGATACCTATATGTGAACATGCATGCAGATGCACACTTCAGCGCAGAACAAGAAAATTACAAAGTCAGATCTCACCTCTTATCATAATTAGCTTCTGGAAGAATTTCCCAGGTCCTTAAACTGAAAGGGCAACAAAAGAAAAGAGGAGGGGGGGGGGTATCAGCTTGATGTGACTCCAAAAATAGGAAGAATAAAATGACTGAATGTTATTCACCAGTCTAAATAATAAATTTCTCAACGCACAGTACACGTTATGATGATTCACCAGCAAAATAACAAGCCTAGACGTACCAGTCCTCCAACCATCTATGGTTGACAAGCTTTATCTTCTTGATTTTCTTGGCAAGCTCATACTTCTCCCCTATTAAAGGTGAAAATTCTTGTTTTAATTTGATAGTGGTGAAGTAAGTACTACAAGCTAAGTTGATGCAAATGCAGTATTCAAAATAACAATGTCAAGCAAGTGAAAGAATAACCAACAAAATTTATGGACAATTGAGCAACAAAATATTCCCATGGCCATGCAGAGTGACTGAGTTGTTATATATTTCAACTACCACCCTTTATCAGGATGATAGAGTTCATAACTTTAATACTATCATTTTAGATTTGGCTATGGAAGTGTCTATATTGATGGACTGAGTTTGTTTAGAAATCAGTAATTTTGATATTTTTTGGATAAGATGGTTCACAATTGGTTTGTCAGATGCAGATGAAGAGTAACTTATTTTGCTGGGGATAAAATCAAGAGTAAACATATATTTTACATTAGGAATGAAAATACATGAACAAACTCCATTATTGTCCGATACAATAGACTATAATTGATGGGAAAGGAGAAAACACGCACCCTCAAATTTGTAGCATATAAGATGAGTAATTTTGTTTGCAACCAGTGGCTTTGAAAAGTTTGCACCCATCAAGCCAACCATTGTCTGGGTAAGAAAAGAAAACCAAAACCGATGCATCAGGCAGTGAAGCAACTCTTTCCACTACCTTCTTTCTCAAATACATTACAGAAAATAATAATATAGCTGGGAGTTTGGATGATACACAACAATCAACTATCAGAACAGTAAACACAAAGGCAGTCGCAAACCATAATATCATCTCGATCATGCCTCTGGTACCCAGTCAAGCAAACAATTAAAGTTTTGGCACCTGGAATTCCATTCAAATCTCTTAAAGGTCTGTACATGACCTGTAAGAAAACAGAAAATCATCCATCAGCAATGAAACATGCTTAAGTGATGTATAGGAATATTATAAGCAATCAATTGTGGCTTTTAAGAATTTTCTAGTTTATAAGAGCTTTGAATAGAAACATAAATGTTGGCATCCAGGATACAACGCAATGGGTAAAATGGAAGACTGACATGGTTGGGATCAACAGGCATTCCAGCATCAAAACTATGGTCAACCCATAAGCTAGTGACCAGTGTCTTTCCATCACTTCGAGCAGCAACACACATAGGATCATCCTGCGCCACACAAAATCCAACGCTAATAAAAATGACAACTATGAATCCTTGAGGAGGAACATAAACAGGAACTCAATTGAAATGATAACAATAGGGTATGCAAATAACTGGAGACAAGCGGGGATGATACTTACATAAACAAGCTGATCAACGATTACGTGGCTACAGTTGGGTCCATAACTACCAACATCATCCCCTCCGCCATTAACAAGCCTCGACCGAACCTACAGATATCGAAACTAATTTATATATTACACAGTTTGTTCGCTCCAACACATGTCGGTTCAAGAATATGCTATACCTAGGCATCAAATTAAACGAAAAAGCAAAACGAGATACTGTAATTTCATACAAATATAGCGGGAGAGAAAGAGAAAGAGAGACCTTGTCTTTGAGGATGGGATCGAATCCAAGGAGAACAAAGCGGACGCCAATGAAAGTTTTGGATGGGTGGTCATATACGACATTACTCTTGCTTTCCAACATTGAATCTAATTGGTTCTGAAAGAATAAATATCAGTAAAACTGTCGAGGAGACCAAGAAAAGAATTGGATTGGGGAAGATATTGCTCTATGGGGGTGAATTATAAAACCCTAGCTCTCCTACTGGAAGAGAAGTGAGAGACTGAACTGAAAGAAGTCAATTAATGGCAGTGATGGTATTGTGATTGGGAAGTTGCAGGGACTGAGATTGTATGAAACTTCTCGAGGAAGGATGGAACAGAGTGTAAATTAGGCCAGAAAGTAGGGGTAAATTAAGAGAAGCGAGATTTTAAGTGGGATTTTCGTTTTCATTTCGGTGCACTGGCGGGAGAAAAAAATTTGTCACACTCACAGGCCCGCCTTGCGGCTACACGTGTGGTGCTCTCCGCCCCCGTCAACTCCACACGCTTGTTGTGCTTCCCTTTTGGGCCTGGGGAAAGAATTGGGCCAACATGTAACTTGACGATGCACAAAGTGATTTTGTATATCATCTGTCAAATTTTAATAAAAAATATAAAAAAATAATATGAGGAGATAGATAAACATAGGCAATTTATAGTAATTTGGTCAGTTCGATCTATGTTCATTCTTTAATGACTTCGGTTGTCGAGTATTTTATAATTCAAGGGTGTGGGAAACAAAGAGTGCAAGCTTTAAAGGAAATGAAAGAGTCGTGTTCAGGTAAAATGCGTTGCCCCCCAAGTATTGGTGGGGCGTGCAATTTATAATGGTCCCCTAATAGATTGGGGCTACTTTATAGCAACTAAGCGACTACTCTAGTGGAGCTCACCACTTCTGCTCAATGGGCGAGGAGGTTGAGGAGTTATCTTTGAGATACGGTCAAAGATAAGGTGAGTAGGTTGAGGACTTTTACCTCTGCAGTGTAGGTAGGGCTCTCATGCTCTCCCTCTTGATGACGTAGTCAAGCAGAGAGTTTGACTGATCTTGGACTATGATGGACTTAGTAGATCTTTCATGTGGTTGGGTTCCTCAATTGGGATTGGACTTCTCACATAAATTGGGCTATTTAGGCTTGACCCATCATTTGTCCTCCAATGCCCCGTGTCCAATGAGACTTGGAGAAGGGTGCATTAACTTACTCTGTGGTGGAGACTTCCTCTGCTGGATGATTCTTTCTCTGCATGATGTATTTTTGCTTTGGTGCACATCTCAAATCTTTCCCACTTTTGCTAGGATTTTCAAGAGAGCCCATAATTTTTAACTTGGACTTTTCCCTCTTTAAAAATCCTAGGCTATAAATATAGCCTTCTTCTTCATTCTATCCCACTCCTTCCAACTTATTCATGAATGCCTTTTTTTTTTTTGAAATCCTTGGAGACCCAAAGCTTGAGATTCTTGAGTTGGAGCATCAATGAAGAGAAAAACCAACATTGCTATTGAAGAGGAGGTAAGTAGCGGCATGGAGGTGTCTCGGGCACCCATTGCCACTGTTATTCATGCACCCAATGGGTTGTCCAAGCTTGGGATGCCGAAAATAGGGGAGCCCGTGGTTCCTACTGGTGATTTAAGGCCTCAGGCAACGGAGCTACTGCCTTTGGGCGCTGGTGTTGCGCGTGGGGCAGTTGGGCACGCTAGTCCATCGGGCATTGCAGTGGCGTGTTCCATGGAGGCAGGGACTAAACAGGGCGTCATTCTAGGCGTTGGTTTGGGAAGTTTAGAGGCTGGTCTGGACCATTTGGGTGCTAGAGGTGCTGTCCTGGACAGCTTTGGTGCCGAAAATGTTGTCCCAGACAGCTTGGGTGCCAAAAAAGGTGGGCTGGACAGCTCAAGTTCGCAAACCAGTCGGCTGGACAACACAGACGCGTGAACAAACAGGTTGGACAGCGCGCACAAGGGGAGGCTGGACAGCGCATGCGCACAGACAAGCAAACTGGGCAGCACAGGCGCGCAGGCAGACGGACTGGGCAACACGCGTGAGCAGTCTGGCAGACTAGACAACACTCGAGTGTAATCTGGCGGGCTGGACAGCGATGTGCAGACTAAAAAGGGGGCTGCCCAGGCCAGCAGGCGCACAGTAGGGGAGCTGGGCAGCAGCCTGGGCGCAAGGACAGATCAGGGCACCTCTTTAGGTGCTGACCCAAGCACCTTTGGAGCTATTTTGTGCAACTTTGGAGTGCTAGGCTGTCCCATTTTGGCGGGCAGAGGCGGCTAGGCACCTATCCAGGTTTTGGGTTGTCTCGTTTAGGAGCAGCATAGAGCGTCAGGCACCCCTCCAGGTGTTGGGCTAAGCACTGCAGGCGACGAGAAAGCTTTGGGTGCCACTTTTGGTCATCACGATCTGACTCCTTCAAATGTGACTTCTCAAAGCCAAATCCCTCAAGACGATAACTCGGGCCACTCCTTACGGCCTCGAAAGAAGAAGCGAAAAGGCAAACTGGGACTTGATGACGATGGGTCTAAGGTGAGTACCCTTTCTAGTTTGTTTAATGCGGATGGAGATATCTTGAGGCTTGTTTCTACTTATCGTATTCCTCCGACTATGCTATGTCGTCGGGCTAAGACAGGTGAGCTTGATTACAATGCCTCATCTGGTGATATTGTTGTTTACGAGGAAATGCTTGAGCTTGGGCTAAGATTCTCCATGTCCCCTCCCATTTGCCGTATTTTACATTATTTTTTCTTGACTCTAGGGCGATTAGCGCCCAATGGTTGGAGAGTTCTACTGGGCTTTCTTGCATTATGGAGAAAAATGCACCATGAGGATGTTTCTCCTGTGGAGTTCCATGCAGCATACATTTTGAGTGAAACTCCTATACCAAATAGGGGGTGGTACGGTGCTCACGAGAATGCGCTCCAATTGTTGCGGCTGAAAAATCTTGTTTCTTCTTTGTTGGTGAAGAGTGGGCTGCAGAAGTCGATAAAGCTTTGGTGCCAATACATTGGGGTGCTGCTAGAAAATCCGGTACGCTGCACATTTGCTTCTTCTTATTTTTTTTTTTTATATGTGTGTTCACCATTCCCTTGCAGACACGCCTATGCTTTCTCAAAACCAAGAGTCGAAGTTGGAGGTCGTCAAGGCTTGCCCTTACAAAGATTTGGAAGCTCTTTTGCCCAAGGATACTAGATTCGTTGCTCCCTCTCAGAAATCTGGTGGTTCCTCTTCAAAGAAAAGGGGTGAGTTAGTTTCCTCTTTTAATTTTCCTTCCCCTTGGTATTTGTCACCTCCCTAACACTTTATTATTTTCGTAACAAGTAAAAGGGTGGTAGTGTCTCGTTATTCTAGCAGGAGTCCTCCTTCCTCCAAGGTGACGAGGACGGGTGATGCCCCTCAAGTGACTCCTACGGTGGTACCTCCTCAGCCAGTGACTTCCTCAGTTGCTACTCCAGAATTTTCCTTGTCAGGCACACCCTTTGCTTCTCCTTTGTCCCCTCCTCATGCGGGAACCTCCGCTAGAGGACCCACTTGGCTCGGTCCCATGATGGGCAGACCACCAGTCATTAGAGAAAGGCTTGGGAGATTAGTGTTCGCACCCGAAGTTTATCAGCTTAGTACTTCTGGTACTGAAAGGATTGTCAATACATATTTTGGTGGCCTAGCTCAAGTAAGGGTCCGCTATTTCCCTTTCTCCATTTTTTTCTTACGTCTTTTGTTGCCATTTCACTTTTCATCTTCTTCAGGTTTCGATTTCATTCGTCTGCTTGATTTCAAAGGCCTATAATCAAGACAAGCTGAAGCTGGATTTTGACGTCGTGCAAAGGGAGATTCTTATTGCTCAGGGGAGGATTACCAAATTTGAGGCAGTTGGTAGTACTTCTCCGGATGAGCTTTGTGGCAGCTCATGAGAGGGCATCAAAACTTGAGTCTGAGCTTTTGGTGATCCGTGAGAGGGACGCGCTTAGGGAGGGTAAGCTTATTGAGGCCTGTGAGCGGGCGACTAAACTTGAGGCTGAGCTTCTGACGATCCACGAGAGGAACATGCTCAGGGAGGCTGAGCTTGCAGAGGCTCATGAAAGGGCCATGCTTAGAGAGGCTGCTGTTGCGGAGGCAGAGTCGCAGATGCTTTCATTGATGGTTTCGAGGAACTTCGAGGGAAGATCTCTGCTGCTTGTTCTGACATTGACTTCTCAGGTTTCGTGCCTACTGATGATAATGAGGGGGACTCTGATAATGTCGAGGATGACAAGGAGGAGGCAGAGGACGACCATTAGAGCAGTTAGAGTGTTTAGGACTTTTGATTTTTTTAAGAAAGGCAGTTTATAGCCTCATTTTTGTACTGATACTCCTTTGAAATGAAATGCAAAAGATCTTTTTGGAGTAAAAATGTAAAATTTTTTATTAATCTTTTGCTTATTTAAAGCAATATTGGGTAATAATTCTCAAAAAGGTACATTGAATATTGGGTAATAACCCCAACAAATAAAATCAAGTCCCAACTTCCACTATTTTGATGCTCTCAGGGTGCCATTGATAATACATCTTCAAGTGTTCTACATTCCATGGATGGAGTAAGACTTTTCCTTTAGAATTCTAGATCTTGTAGGTGCCCGACTTCACCACCTCTGTTATGAGGTAGGGTCCTTCCCAATTTGGTCACAGCTTTCCTTCGCGTGCATCTTTTGTGGTGAGGATCACTTTCTTAAGAACCCAATCCCCTGGTTGGAAGGAATGAGGCTTCACCCTCGAGTTATAATACCTCGCTATGCATCGTTTGTACTCCGTGTTGCGGACCACAACCATCTCCCTTGCCTCCTCCACCAAGTCAAGTTTTATACGGAGTCCTTCTTCGTTGGTGATGGGGTTATGGTGCTGGACCCTTAGAGAGTGTACCCCGATCTCCACAGGGACGATCGCCTCAGTTCCAAATGCGAGGGAGAAAGGGGTCTCCCCAGTAGGAGTTATTGGTATGGTTCGATAGGCCCACAATACTCCAGGTAGCTCGTCTACTCAAAGACCCTTCGCTCTTTCAAGCCTTGTCTTTAGGTTGCGTAGCATTGTTCTGACCATGACCTCTGCTTGTCCATTTGTCGGTAGGTGTGTTGGG